GCAGCCCCCATGCACGGTGCCGGGTGCCCCCCACACCCTGCACGTCCCTCCCCATGCAGCGGTCCCGCAGCCCCCGTGGCAGCCCCCGGTGCAGCGCCTGCCCCCCGCCTCCCCTCCAGGTAGTGTGAAATGTGAAATGTAACTTGTGCACTTTTCCTAGCTGGTCCCTGTAGGTGTGCGGGCGCGGCGAGGGCGCGAGCCCCAGGGCCCCGCAGCGCGTGTCTGTTTGCTCATTAAAGACGGTTCTCACAGCAACGGCCTGGCCTGGCTCCCTGCGGCATGCACCGTGTTCCTGCAGCATTGCACATCCGCGGCCCGCGTTGCTGCAGCATCCCGCACCTGGAGCCCGTGTTCCTGCAGTGCCGGGCACCCAGAGCCTGTGTTCCTGCAGCATCCCACACCTGCAGCCCATGTTCCTGCAGTGCCAGGCACCCAGAGCCCATGTTCCTGCAGCATCAGGCACCTACAGCCCGTGTTCCTGCAGCGCCAGGCATCCATGGACCGTGTTCCTGCAGCGCCGGGCACCCAGGGCCCGTGTTCCTGCAGCATTGTGCACCTGCAGCCTGTGTTCCTGCAGCTGCAGGCAACCGCAGCCTGTGTTCGTGCAGCATCCCACACCTACAGCCCGTGTTCCTGCAGCGCCAGGCACCCATGGACCGCATTCCTGCAGCTGCAGGCACCCGCAGCCCGTGTTCCTGCAGCATCGTGCACCTGCAGCCTGTGTTCCTGCGGCGCCGAGCACCCATGGACCATGTTCCTGCAGTGCTGGGCACCCATGGACCGCATTCCTGCAGCTGCAGGCACCCGCAGCCTGTGTTCCTGCAGCATCGTGCACCTGCAGCCTGTGTTCCTGCGGTGCCGAGCACCCATGGACCATGTTCCTGCAGCGCTGGGCACCCATGCACCGTGTTCCTGCAGCATCCCACACCTGCAGCCCGTGTTCCTGCAGCGCCGGGCACCCATGGGCTGCGTTCCTGCAGCATGAGATGCCAGGCACTCACGTCCCCATGATGTCCCCGTGCTGTGCAGGGCTGAGCGCCCATGTCCCACACGCCAGGGCTGCAGTGTCCCGAGCGGAGCTGCAGTGCAGACAGCGCCGTCCAGAGGCTGCAGAGCCTCGGCCTGCCGGTGCAGAGCGCTGGCTCGGGGCACACGCTGCAGACACACACATGCGTGTGCACACGTGTGCAATGCGCGTACAAACGCCCGCACAAGCACCTGCAGAACAATTGTGTGCACACATGCAGCGAGTGTGCAGTGAGCGTGCACAGCTCAGGGGCTCACAGGCTCAGTGCAACCACTGTGCATGCACACCCGCAGCAAGCAGGCACACGTGCAGCAAGCGTGCATGCCAGCACACCCCCATGCACTGGGGGGACATGGACGGATGGGGACACAAAGGGGATATATGGGGACAGCGAGGATGTGGGATATGGGGGTTGCAGAAGACATGGGGGCACAGGAAGGGACAGGAGAGCAGGGGGACATGAGGGGCGAGGGGACATCAGAGGCAGGAGGGGCAGGGGAGGGACGGGGGGCAGGTGGGGAATGGGGGGGCAGGCAGCACAAGGGGACATGGGGGACGGGGTAGATGGGACATAGGGGCAGGGGGGACGTGGAACACAGGTAGGACA